AAGGTAGGCGCGATGTTGGCATGCTAGAGGTAGTAAGAAATGATCAATGTATTCTGACACTGCATATGACTCACTACCACAGTCAGATATAATCGGGCGGCCTTTAGGGATTTTATTCGAGATAAACCACTCCTTGGTTGGATTCTTATGGATTTTAGGCAAAGTGTACGAATGTCTCTCGCGACAATCAGGTTTGGCAGACAGATAGTCATATTGTTTCTGTTTGAGATAACTAGTTTTGACTAAATCGGCAAGAATATTATTAATCATGTTAGCAGTTTCTTTGAAAATTGGTTTCGGTAAAATGGCATAATGTTTAGGATTATTCAGTTGATTCTCTGCTTCTGAAACGTAATCCTCCCTATTCAGAATGACACAACATGAACCTTTGTCACTCTTTTTAATAACAATGCTATCGTCTTTCTTAAGTAAGTTTAACGCTTCACGTTCCACTCGTGTGAGATTAGGCTTTTAGTGTGTTATGGAAAGGTTCACTGTTTGGCTATTCATACTAGCAAATGCTTCCAATATTTCAGGATGGATGGCGGCCTGAGGGGGTGTCCACGTGGATTTAGGAATAAACATTGTTCTAGCACCACGTGGGGGGTGGTTTCGAAAAAAATATGTGCAGCTAAGATTTCGTTGAAATCGTTCAATGGATGGTCGGAGATAATCCAAGTTAGCTATCTTTGGTGTGGGAATAAGTCCACGGTCTAAGATTGAATGCTGAAGGGGTGTGAGAATTTTGCGGCTCAAGTTAACTACAGTTTGGCCTAGCGGTGGCCTCTCAGTCTTTTTATCCCCAGTAATTAGTTTAAAGACTTACTCGATGCTTGAAGCTGGTGTATCCAAAACAAATAAATGCTGTTTGCTGTTTCTGGAGACCAATGAAGATTATCAACTGTTTCGATTTCTTCTTCGTAGGGTGGTAAGATTGTTGCGCTGTTGATACTGGACTCCATCATCATGTTGTTGAGGGTGCTGAGGTTCTGTTGTGCTTTCTTCGAGATTTTATTTGAGATGGGTATACATGTGAAGAGGATCTTGGAGTTTGGGAAGGTTTTGTTGGCTGTGGCGATTAATTTCTTAATTAGGGTGAGATCGTCTATTGAATGGTCGTCGAGGTTGAAATGATTAGAAACAGGCTTGTCTTTCTTTAATTTGATGTCTGACCTATGAGCATTAAAGCGAGTTCGTAAATTATTCTTAGTTTCTCCTACATATTGTTTGGGGCATTTCTTGCATGAAATTAAATATATTACATTCGAATGTTCACATGTTAGATGTTCCTGGATCGGTTACCTTTTATTCGTAGAGTTGCTTACAAAATAATGAGTTTCTGATATAAAGGGACATGTTTTGCATCTACTGGACAAACATGGAGCACTTCTTAAACCTGGAGGTACTTCGGCATAAAGTCTGTTTTTAGCTGCTATCTGTGCTAAGGTGGAATTTTTTATGTTTCGTAAAAATCGTTTAGAGTACCCACGCTCTTTCAGTTTTGAGAAAACAATCGTACAGGCTTGGTTGAAATCAGAAGATCTTGTACAAATTCGATGAAATCGTAAAACTG